ACATATGGGAGACAACCATTCAATATTTATTTTTCTCTTCTCTTTCCCCTCTCTAAAAATCAATAAAAACATACCCTTGGGTAAGGATTTATACAAAAGCTCATGCACAAAAAGAAAACAGAATCTGAAGAGAGAAAGAAATGGCTGTTGCTCCCTGAACAAAGGCAGGGAACAGTTTTAAAACTGAGGCAGGAAAGATGATGTCTGAATGTGACATCTAAGTATGTAGACGGAGGAATTCTTTGAAGCTTGTGCAGTGGAACTAACACTTCTTTTTGCACCCAATGTTTCATTGGTGTATTAACTATCCACCCAGAAGTGTGTTTTTTACTATTATAATGAGGGTAAGGTTACGCAGCAGTCATTCTGGGGCTAAACTGCACTTTCATAAGGGATGGGAAAGTCTCTTTGCCTGATAAGGCGGTACCTTGTGATTACTGGCACCATTCTGTCTGGCCACTGACTGAGTGTAGGATTTGAGGGGCAACTGATGAAAATTCTAATCTTATATAGAAGAGGCTCAGTCTGTCTCAGATAAGTAGAATGGAATATGTCTAAGCCATGAAAAAGAATGAAATCTTAACAAAGGGGACATTTGTATATTTTCAACAATAAAGATAAATTTAAAAATAAATAAATAAATAAAAAGAATGAAATCTTGCCATCCTATCTAATAAAAGGCTAACATGCAAATTGACTGAATAGCGGAACAACTGGTCACTATGATGCGCACTGACCACCAGGGGGCAGATGCTCAATGCAGGAGCTGCCCCCTGGTGGTCAGTGAACTCCCACAGGGGGAGCGCTGCTCAGCCAGAAGCCCGGCTCACGGCTGGCGAGCACGGCAGCAGTGGCGGGAGCCTCTCCTGCCTCTGCAGCAGCGCTAAGGATGTCCAACTGACAGCTTAGGCCCGCTCCCCGCACACTGGCCTAGGCCTCCCTCTTTGAGGCGATCATGGAGCGATGACAGGGGCCCCTGACCAATCACATTGCACCTGTCTTGGCTGGCCTGGCACCAGTGCATGTCATAGAGTGGTCATCTAGATGTTCATTCTGCTGTTCGGTCGTTCGGTCAATTTGCTTATTATGCTTTTATTATTATAGAGGCTGGGTGCACGAAATCCATGCACTGAGGGGGGGGAAATCCCTCTGCCAGGCCTGTGCCCTCTTGCAGTATGCGAGCCCTCAGAGTATGTCCAACTGTTGGCTTAGGCCCCCTCCCCGTGGGGAGCAGATCTAAGCTGGCAGTCAGACATCCTTAGCACTACTGCAGAGGTGGGAGAGGCTCCCACCACCGCTGCTACGCTCACCAGCTGTGAGCCCGGCTCAGGACTTCTGGCTGAGCGGCGCTCCCCCTGTGGGAGAGCACTGACCACCAGGGGGCAGGTACCTGGGACCCAGGCTTCCCTCTGGCCCTGGCTTCATCTGGAAGGACATCCGGAATGATGTCCGGAATGACGTCCGGCCTAATTAGCACATTACACTTTTATTATAAACTAGAAGCCCATTGCACGAAGATTCGCGCAATAGGCCTTCCTGCCCCTGGCTGCTGGCACCGGTTTTCCTCCAGCTCCCAGGATCCAGGCCTTTGGTCCGGCTGCAGTGGAGAAGCTAAGCCTCTTCAGTCTTCAGTCTTCAATCTTCAGTCTTCACTCTGGCTGGAGCCTTCAGTCTTTGCTCCGCACCTGTGTGTCCAAATTAACTGCCATCTTTGTTGGGTTAATTTTCATAGTCACTCTGATTGGCCAGTGGGTGTAGCAGAGTGACACCAAGTTGCATGTTTCTCTTTTATTAGTGTAGATGGGTGGACCTAGAGCAGTGATTTTCAACCCTTTTCATCTCATGGCACACATAAACTAATTAATAAAATTCTGTGGCACACCAAAAAAATATATGTTTTGCTGACCTCACAAAAAATAGGTATAATTTTGATGGATTTACCAAAAACAAAAAACCAAAAACTAAAAACAAAAAAAACCCAATAGTGATTAACAACTTTTTTTTACTCCAAAGTGAGTTTTTAAAAATTCAAGTGCCTATACTTGTATATAAGAATTTCTGGTACCAAGAATTAACCAATCAGACACAACCTTATTATGCAACATGACCAATAAGATGCAACGCTATATGACCTGTATATTTATGACCTATATATTTATGGTTCAAGACAGGGCATTTACACTAGACAACTACTGTGTTGGTTATTGTCTTTCTCTTTTTTTATTTGACAATATAATGGAAGAGAGGTTAGTGCCCCTGCATGTTTTATAACTTTTTGCAGCACAGTTGTGTGAGGTGGCACACTGGTTGAAAACCAGTGACTTGGAGGGTATTATGATGAGTGAAATATGTCAGACAGAGAAAGACAAATGCCATATGATGTCACTTAAATGTGGAATCTAAAAAATAAAATAAACAAGCAGAACAGAAACAGACTCATAGATACAGAGAACATTTTGACAGTTGACAGATGGGAGGGGGGTTGGGAAGATGGGTGAAAAGGTGAAAAGATTAAGTACAAATTGGTAGTTACAGAATAGTCCTGGGAATGTAAAGTACAGTATAGGGAATAAAAATAATATTGTAATAAGTCTGTATGGTGTCAGATGGGTACTAGATTTATCGGGGTGATCCCTTTGTAAGTTATATAAATGTCTAACCACTGGGTTGTACACCCCAAAACTAATATATTGTATGACAACTATAATCTATATTATAAAAAGCCAGTCGCCATAATGACCAAACAACCAGTCACCAGGAGGAGCATTGATGGGTCTCGAGGCATGGCGGGTCTGAGTCTCGCATGATTTCACACGCGGGGCCTCTAGTTAAAAAATAAAAAATTGGGGAAGGGAAGGAGATCTGGCAGAGAAGGGGAGGAAGGGAGGGAGCAGTGTCTATGCGGTTATGTGGAGCCCAAGGAGGAGGCAAAGGAAACTGCCAAGGCTGCCTGGACCAGGGTTTCAATTCAGAAGCTTTCAGGCGCCAGCAGACTGGGTGCAGCAGCCTGAGAGTCCATAGGGAGTGATGCGGACACTGGGGAGAGGTGCACTCATGCACCAAAAGGTTGCTGGTTGGACTCCCGGTCATATGCCGGGTGTGGGCTTGATCCCCAGTAGGGGCTGTGCAAGAAGCGGCCAATCGATGTTTCTCTCTTTCCTTCTCCTTCTCCTTCTCTCTCTCTCTCAAAATAAATAAATAAATAAATAAATATTAAAAAAAAAATTACTTGAAAATTCAAAAAATACTTTGATATAGTTTTTAATCTTATCATATTTCTTTTGTTAATACTCACCCAAGGGTATTTTTCTCATTGATTTTTAGACAGAGTGGATGGGAGAGACGGGGAGAGAGAGAGAGAAAGATCCATGTGAGACACACCAATTGGTTGGATCCAAACGCCCTAACTGGGGTGGGGAACAAACTTGCAACTCAGTTACATGCCTTTGACCTAGAATGGTACCCATAACCCTCCAGTGTGTGGGCTGACACTCTAACCATTGAGCAACACCGGCCAGGGCATGTCATATTTCTTTCTCAGTCAAATATTATCTGTCAATTGACTCTTGTCAAAATTAAAAAGCAACATCTATAAAATTTAATAGATATACTTGGATATGAAAGCTTACAAAAATATTAAGAAATATTCTTAAATATAGCACTGTAATTACTCAAGATTCACAATCATAGCATAAAATGGGAGTACTTTGCCTGGCTGGTGTGGCTCAATGATTGAGCATTGTCCTGTGAACCAGGAGGTCACAGTTTGATTCCTGGTCAGGGCATATGCCCAGGTTTCAGGATCAACCCCCAGAGTGAGGCGTGCAGGAAGCAGCCAATTGATAATTCTCTCTCATTGATGTCTCTATCTCTCCTTCTCTCTTCCTCTCTGAAATCAATAAAAATATTTTTTTTAAATGAGAGTAATTTTGAGCATTGACAAATTGAGGTGTTAGTGAGCTATAAAAATAAATAGCTTAGATGTATGCTCAGATATTATGAGTCAGAGCTTAGTGTGGTATTTGTCATTTATTTAATAATCATGTTTACTCAATTCACTTTACTGCAATGACCAATTTAATAAACAACTGTCAACTTGATTAGGTAACAGATTAAGACCTGGCAATGTAACATTTTGCAAGTAAAGCCACAATAACCAGTTAGATTGTTCTTGTTAAAAGTACAGTATGTGTAGTTTGGAGGCTGGCTGTGAGCAACTTCCTGAAATGAAGAAGAAAACAAAAATCTGGTTAACTTGTTCCTGATTTGATAGTACTATTCTTTTAACTTCAAGTTGTTGAGCAGATCACAAAGTTCCAAAACTAGGTCCAGCAACTCAGATTTACAGATTTAAAACAGTGATAGGATTTTCTTAAGACTTCAATCATCAAGTAAACCCTGGCCAGGTAGGTCAGTTGGTTAGAGAGACCTCCCAATACATCCTGGTACTCCAAGGTTACGGGCTTCATCCCTGGTCAGTGTTCTTATAGGAATCAACCAATGAATGAATGAATGAGGGAAACAATAAGTCGATATTTCTCTCTCTCTCTCTCTTCCTCTCTAAGTCAATTTTAAAAATATTAAAAAAATAATCAAGTAGATAGATCATTAAATGTTCAAGTAAAATTCAAATTATACAGCTATTTACTGTAACAAAGTGATTATTTACATTAATCAATTTTCAATAAGAGAGTACAACACACTTAAATGATCAATAAAAACATAATTTTTTACAGGATACATACTTATAAAAATTAGCTGAATCTTAAAATTGGGTTTTCACCTTTCCTCTTTTGAACTCTTACTCCAAAATTTTCTTATGCAGAAAAAAAAGCGCCTTTTAAAAACAGATTAGGAAACATTTGAGATTTTGCTTCCCAACAATTGTCCAGTTTGGGCTCAAATAAAGTCTTATAAAGATTAAAAAACAAATAAAGAAAAACAGATTATAATGATATTTACGCTAACAAAAACATTAAAGACCCTATTTTGTTATTGAATTACAATTCTTTTAAGACTAATAATGTTTAATTTGAAGTCATTGCAGTGAGATAAATTATTATCCAGTGTTTCTATTTACCCATGTTTTCAAAGCACTCATCAATATTGTTCCCTAATATTTATCAAACCGGAGTGATCTCAGTTTCCAGCATTTGGCTCAATGGGAACAAGTTTTCTTACATCTCCAAGGGCTAAAAAAGGGGAAAGAACATACGAACTTGTCATCCCCCACAAGCCAGGGAGATTTTTTTTCTCTCTAGATTCAAAGGAGTACAATTAAACTGATAGGTCTAACTCAAAGTTTGGTGGGTTATTTGTGTGTGTGTGTGTGGTTCGATGGCTCTCCGCTTCTCTTTGTATTCCTTTTATCGTCCAAGTTCCTCTTCCTAACCGCCTCACTCGCTCTTCCAGGCCCCATTTCTTGAAGGTTTGAGTTGTGCTCTCTCCGATAAAAGAAGCCGCATTATTTTCAAACCCCCTTCTGTGGCCACCGAGGGTCCTTACCCAGCCGCAGCCCATCGCCCTCCCCGCTCCCACCTGCCACCCGCAGAGCGCACCAGGTGGCCGCGGAGCAGGGTGCGCACCTGGAGAGGGTGGCGCCCCAAGCCCCCGCCAGAGGTGGGGGAGGGGAGCCCGCTTCCTCCCCGCCCCCGCGAGCGCGGTGACTCATCGCGGGGACCCACGGGCAGAGGTGAGCAGCCCCGACCGGCGCCGGGAGGCGGGGCCGCCAGGTCGGGCAGGTCCGCTCCGCCCCGCCCCGCGCCCAGAGTGCGCAGTCCCTCGGCGAGTGCGGGTCGTCCGTGCCGGCCCCGGAGCATCCTGCTGAG